AATTGTAAAGAAGTTAACCATTGCAGATACTGTCTAGGTCCTCAGTATTTACTAGCTGTTGCTACTACTTGGGATTCTATACTATACTAGGCACCCAGTATCAGTTAGTTTTTCTTTAACCCTCAGCTTACCTAGTAAAATAGCCCCACTTTAGAGATGGAAAATAAGTCTCAGAGAGGTTAGTGAGTTGCCTGAGAGCATCCAGTCAGGTTGAAAGCTTGGGTCCTTCCCAACAAACAGTGTCTTTCAAATCTTGACCAAGTCTCAGAATAAGAAACGCAATTTGCATGAGCACCGAGTGAACACATATATCGATATAACGTAATTGAAATTTAACTTGCACTGCTTGTGATATATGCTCATGTTTTCCTGTATGATGTCTGCTACTTCATTTTTTTTTTTTTTTTTTTGCTACTTCATTTTTTAAAGATGCTTCAGTGACCCATTGAGTTGACTTTGCAAAATACTGTTGGGTCACAACCACAGAAAACCAGCCTTCTGCCTCCCAACAGGAAATTTTTCTTACTGGGCGAGGGCCACCCAACCCGGAAGGGGCTGGAACTATGAGGCTTAGAGAAGAGGGCCCTCCAGGCACTCCAGTTAGGGCCCTGCACCCTCTACCAAGCCTCCCCAGAGGACAGTCTGGCTCACAGACACTGACTGCAGAGAGAGTGCTCTTGGCTATAAGTAACAGAAAGCTTCAATGGGAAATGGCTTAAACAAGAGGAATGTTCACGGTGTCCGATAATCAGAAGCCCCTGAGAAGGGGGTTCTGGGGTTGGGGAGTTCCTTGGCTCAGTGCTTCTGAGGTACCTCAGCTCTGCCTACCCAGCCCCATGGCCCCGTTGTCTCTTGTGTGACTCTCATGGGCCCAAGATGGTGGCTGTACTTCCCACAGGGCTACGCTCAGAGGCAGGCAAAAAGGAGACCACTCCTCTCTTCTTTTCTTTTACGAGAAAAAACTTCCCACATGCCACTCCCTCCAAATTTCCTTATATCTCACGGGCCAGATTGGTCTCACGTGCTCGTGGCTGAACCAGAAGAATGGAATCATCGTCACTGATACAGCACCATGTTTTTCAAACCACTGGGGTTGAAACGTCCATGTAGTGAATTTCAAGCACCACTTTTCTCAGGGAATAAAATGGAACAGGACAGAAAACGCTACACAAAGTAGGAACTGTGTTGTGAAGTTGTTGTTCCCATCATGTCTGTATATCAGTATGTGTACATGTGCACACATCCACCCATGTCTGTGTGGTCCTGGGTCATGGTGGAAAGTGACCCTTTCCCTTGTATTCCTGACCCAGGATGGCGGGAAGCAGCTCCTGGAAGGCATGTCAGACAACAAGACCCTCCTGGAGTTTGATTTGCGCCTGTCAGACATCGCCAAGGAGAGCGAGTACCTCATCGGCCAGGCCCTCTGTGCCAACCGTGAAGCAGCCCGCCAGCGGGCCCTGAATCCCAGCCACTTCATGTCCCCAGTCACTGCCAAGGGCCCTGAGAATCCTGTGGGATAAGATGGGAACAGGGCTGGGGCGGTGACCAGACCTAGGTCACCACCCCAACCCCATCCCTCATTTCATGCCCCTGCCATGCCTGCTCTTGAGAGTCACCCTGGTCCCAAGGGAGGGGGAGGTGAGACCAAGACTATCCTGGGGGTGAGCGACTGAGGTTCTGCAGGGATCTGTGAGGAGAGGAAGGAGCGTGGGATAGAGGTAGGAAGTGGGACTTAGCCCTGGTACCTAGGGAGAGGATATGAAGGGACTCACTGAAATGACTGACTTCTCCCAAGAATACGGAAAGCCGACCCTGAGACTGTGAGGCCCAGACTCTCCCACAGGGGCCATCCATCTCCCCAACCACCCTCCTCCCCACCATTGTTCTCTCTACCAAACAGATCCTTGACCTCTTGACCTTCAAACACACTCACACTCTCTCCTCCACCCCAGGCTTCAGCAGAGCTCTGCCTGGCTCTTCCACCCTCACCACCACAGATGCCACCTCCCTCTTACTTGACTCTGCTTAAGTCTTCCAGTTCTGCAGGTCATGCCAGCCCTAGTCCACCCCACCCCCAACCTGGGCAGGAGGAAACAGAGGTGACGGGAGGGGCTCAGACCCAGCGGCCTCCCCAAAGAGTTGCTCACAGGACTGGGAGATGGTGAGAGAGGTGTGACCCTGGGAGGGAAGTCAGTGAGTCATCCGCAACTTTATTATCCACCAGTTTGATTTATACAATCTTTGCGCTTGGAAATCCACAACAGAAAGGCCACAGTGTGATGCACCCAGTTGACAGAGACCTGTCTTCTCCCCAGCCAGGCCCAGCCCACCCCACAAGCCCTTGTCCCAGGACACATGAAACCTTCCAGGCACCCTCCAAGAGTCCCCATCACTCTACGACCACCTGCCCTGGGGCACACCCACAGGAATCACATCTCCCCATGAGGCCATGAGAGGATCTGCCCGATGGACTCAGGCTGAGCCCCAGGGCCCATCCTCCACAGACTGAACCCCCAGCCCTGTTTCCAAAGGCTGGGTCACAGGCTGCAACCACAGCCTAGGAGCGCTTTCCAGGGACTCCTTCCAACAAGCAGGCACGGAGCAGAGCACCAAAGGGGGCTTGGGAGTGACCACACGTGTGTGCCTGTCTGGGCAACTTCAAGTCTGTCTGTGCCTGACACCCTCTGACAGTTCCGGAGTGCAAACTTATAGGTGTGAGGGTGTGTGTGAGTGTGTGAGTGTACATAGCCACAGCTGCTAGCAGAGGTTCTAATTAGAGAAACAAGAACATTCAGTGTAAAGTTTAATTTTAGAGATTAATTTTTCTGGTTTTCGTTTTCCCTGGCAATCAATAAAGCTACCAAGAAAATAGACCAAAGACTTGGTTTCTCTCTAAGTCTGTGCGTATGTGGGAGGTGTGAGGCTGTCAGTGTGAGAAGACCTAGGCAGAAATGGTCAATACAGGCAAAAATAATCACAGCCCCTCCCCTCTCCCCTCCTCCCAGCTCAGGCTCTGTCTCAGGCATCTGCCTGAGGCAGGGAGCTGAGTTCCTCCCTCCCCAGAGCCACGAGGTGGCCAGGATGCCCCAGACAAAGGTGTGACATCAGGGTGCCAGCTGGCCAAGAACTGGGTGCCAAGGCCACAGCTCACCACCTGTACCTTGCAGACATCCATTCAAAGGAAAGAGGGGCGCTCCAACCCGCAGGCCCCTGAAGAGCACAGTGCTGGCTGGTAGGTGGGCACTGCCACCCAGGGAAACCTAGTGGGCAGCTGTCCCCTCCTGCCCAAGCCTCCCCTTCTCCTGCCTCCTCCCCTTCCCACTCAGCCATCTCCACCTGATAGTTAACCTCAACCCCAATGCGCCACAGGCCATGGTGTCCCCACAATCTGTGCACCCCCAACTCCCCAGGGAAGGGGAGCAAGGGAGCCAGAGATGTTGCATAGGTGGAGGCCACGCCCCGGGCGGTGCGGGCCTGGCCAGGCTGGAGGAAGAGGGGAGAGGAGTGGCTCTGATGGCTCAGATGAAGTGAGAAGCATCAACGGCGAGCCATGTCAAGGCTGAGGGTTATCCTCTCCGGCTGCAAATGTGAACTCTCTCCCTGGGCGCTAAGTCAGCTGGGAAAACGTTAGCCAGCGGAGCTGGGCGGGCAGGGGTTTTGTACACAGACATGCACACGGAAGCACATCAGGGTAGGAGCGGTGGGGGACAGGACATGGGGCCAGCGCCCTGGGGTGGTGACAGCATGCCCCTTTGAAGACCCTGGGACACACAGCAGGGCTTCAGCTCACGGGCTAGGGGAGGACAGAGGGATGGGGCAAGATTTAGAAAATTCCTGCCTCTGACCCCAGCTGGGCTCGTGACAAGGTCCTCAGCCCTGCAGAGGCTCAGCTTGCGGACGACCACTCCTCCCCACGAACACGGGGGAGCCAAGGGTCGGCCCCCACGGACACCCCCACCTTTGAGGATCTTTTCGTGATCCTCTCCTCTTCGACTCCCACTTGCTTCCTGAGTTCTCTGTTGTCACCCAGGCCTGTCTCCTAGTCTCCCCGCTGAGTCGTACGCCTTGGTCAGCTTAAAGGAATGCCGCCTGAAGGGGGTGCCCTCCCAGAACCGAGGCAAGGAGGCTGAAGTTTAAACGACTGAGGTGCACTGCCCTCCACAGTTTGCCTTCCCCCTCACCCTGGCAACAGCTTTTCAGAGCCAGGAAGCAGGCTGGGGAAGAAGAGCTGTGGTGAGTAGGTCCCCCCAGGACCCAACCTCCCGGGGGGCCCAGGGAAATAAACAACAGCGGTGGGAGTGGCGGAAAGGAAACCCCGATCTTCGGATCTTGTCGGGGCCAGCGCCAAGAAGAGAGCAACATCTCCAGGGCTTTGAGATGGAGTACCACGGCTGACACCTGGCCCCGGCCTCAGACCCACTGATTTCATTAGCTTGGTTGGAAGCCAGCCCTGCTGTTCTCCGAACCACTGCCCCCTTGGTAGAGTGAGGCCCCCGCAGGATCAGGCTGCAGCGAGAAAAGAAAGCGGGCCGGCCCTTCCCCCCCCCCCCCCCCCCCCGGCCTCCAAACCTCCCCAGGGGCACAGCGAGGGCCTCTCCCTGGAGACGGAGCCCAAGGCGGGTTCCAGGGCGCAGTCGCCAGTTAACAGTCATTGGATCCATTGAAAGGCGGGACAGGGAATCTCCAATGTGCGAGTGTGGGTGTCGGAACGGGAGGTGACTCCCTAGGAACTCAGGGGCGGGCAGGCCTGGAAGAGGCGGCTCTGCGGGGGTGGGATTGCCTCCCCTCCCCGCAGCTGTCTCTTTATGTACAGGAAGTGGGGGGGGTCGGATCGGCCCCGTCTGAGTCTGGCCCGCGCCCCCTCGCCTCCCACCTCCCCACCCGCGCCGTTCCCAGCACGGCCTCGGCCACATTCGTGACTCCTCCTGCTCCACCCGCGGGACGCGCCGTCCCGGCAAGGGGCAGGGAGGAGACCGTCGGGCCGGTCCCGGGACCCGGGGTCACAGTGAAGTCTCTACGCAGGAGCCGTGGCGGTGCAGCGGCCGGTGGCTGTGGCCCAGACAGCCCTCTTGCCGGTGCACGATGAGCACCGGAAAGTAGAGGGCGTCGTGGTAGGGCGGCGGCGGACCGGCCTCCTCCTCGTCGTCGTCCTCCTCGTCGTCCCCCATGCTGGCCTGGCTGGACAGTCGCGTCTGCTCGGTGGGACAGCTCGCCTCGTTGACGCTCCCGCTCCGGCTGCGCCACAGGCAGCTGCGCCGCGAGCCGTAGAGGCGGCCGAGAGAGAAGCGGCTGCCCCCGCAGCCCGCCCCGACTCCTCCGGGCCCGGGGGCGGCCCGCGGGCTGGCGCAGATGCTCAGGGCGCTGCGCGAGAAGATGGACGAGCTACTGACGGCGCGCTGGCAGTGCTCGCAGCTGCGCCTGTACGGGGCCAGGCCCGCCGCTCCCGGTCCACCCACCCCACCGTAGCGGCAGGTGGGGGCGTAGCCACCGGCCGCTCCCCCAGTGCAGCGCGCGCCCAGCCCCGCCAGGTCCATGAGCACCGCTTCCGAGTAGCTGGGCACCAGCTGCTGGTTGGAGCGGATATGCCACTCGAGTTCCGTGCTGTCCACCGTGTTGACTCGCGGCAGGCGGTGCGTGAGCGGCGGCAGCAGCTCGTCGCTGGGACTGAGGCCGCCGCCGGCGCTGCCACCCGCCGAGCCCGGGCCCTCCAGGCCGAAGAGCTTCTCTACGTGATAGTGCGCGTAGGCTGTGCGGTACTCGGCCAGCACGCGCAGCGGCCACGACAGCGTGAGCAGCGCCGCGGCCCAGAAGGCGGACGAGCAGGCGTACCAGGGCGGCCTGGCCGGGTCGGGGAAGGCCACCATAAACTCGCGGAAGTCCACGTTCTTGAGATGCATGCCCTCGCGCGCCTCCATGTAGTCGTCCAGGCCCTCGTTCTCGGCGAAGAAGCGCGCGCGCTGGCACAGGTACGCGTTCTCGGCCTCCACGCTGGCGAAACTGAAGCACTTGGTGAAGCGCAGCCGTGTGGCCGGCGCGCCCTCCAGCCCCACCAGCGCCTTGGACACGTCGCGGACGCCACAGCGCGCATAGTCGAACTCGGCCTCGGCCACGTGCGTGTTCACGCGCTCATGGTAGACCTGTGGCGCCGGGGAAGGCGGCGGGGTCGCTTCAGTCCGCTCACCCTCGTCCGCCCCATGGCGGCTCTCGGCGCCTGATCGAACCCTCAGCCTGTCCTGGCTTTGCTCCCGGTTGGAGCCAGGTAGGATCTTATCATTTCCAGAGACACAGACCCTGGAGTCAGACTGCCGGGCTTCAAATCCCAGCTCCACCATACACTGGCTGTTTGACTTTGATATTGGTAAAGTAGTTAGAGCAGAACCTGTCTGCTAGTGTTTGCTGTTATTTTTATGGTGGTGGTTATTGCTCTTCTGTGGCAGTGCCCACGAGAGCTCACTGCGGGCTGTGCTCCCCCTGGGGACAGTCGGGCAGGGTCCCAGCCATCCCCCCTCCCATCTGGACCGGCCTGTGCTCCCCCCCAGCTCCTCACCTGGGTGGTAGTGTAGGCGTCTCCATTGCGGTATCGGGTGACTTGGCGCGTGCGGCGGACGTAGTGGTAGCTGATGGCCTTCCACCAGATACAGGGCGTGGCCTGCTGCATGCGGCCCACGCGCTCTCGCACGCTGCTCACGTCCACCCGGTGCTGCAGCTCGTGGCGGGCTTGGCAATGCCAGCACTCCACCAGGTAGACGGCATACAGCATGAGCAGGAAGGCCAGGGGGATGTAGACATAGCCGTTGGAGCAGGGGCTGTCGTGGTACATGAGGCTGTTGCCCTGGTAGGCGCTGCTGAAGGTGAGGCGGGTCACCGTGGTGACGTGGCACCAGGCCACCGCCCCCAGGCAGCCGTACATGAGCAGCGAGAGCAGCAGGCACTTCCAGTGGGACTCACGGCAGAGGGACTTGGTGAAAGAGGGCTGGATGGGACGCTGCTGCTCAGATGGGCAGGCAAAGGGCCGAGATGATTGGGGAGTGAGACGGAGTGGCAAGACCCAGTACAGAGATGAATGCGGGAAGGGAGGGCCAGAGGCCAGCACCCAAGATGACAGGCAGAGACAGACAGGGACGTGGAGAGAAGAGTCAGACCAAGATGGGAGGCCAGAATCAGAGATAAACACAGAAGTGACCCAGAGTGAGCCATGAGGACAGGAAAAAGGAACGGAATGCCAGTTTGGGGAAGTTCAGAGAGAGATACCCCGAGAGGCAGAGGGATCAGAGCCAGGGGTGGAGGGAGAAGGCCCAGATAGCAAAGAAGACACAGATGGGCAGGATGACACCCAGAGGAACAGTCCAAAGACAGATACAAAGATGGCAGTGAAACGGGAGAAGGTGTGGGTAGGGAAGACAGGGAGGACATACAGGCATCAGCGAAGGCAAGTCCCCAGCCCGGACCCCTTCCAGGTATTCTAGGAAAGGAGGGAGGGGCCCACTGACATCCCCTTCCCACTTCACAGGTGGGGCCCTCCCTTCTTCCAGAACCTAGGAGGAGCCACTTCCTCAGACCCATCCACCTCCCTCATACCTCCCAGGAAACCCCAAGCGCTGTCTCCTTCCCCATGCTCTGGACCCCAGGTCCCTGGCAAGTCTCCTTAACATCCTACCCCTGTTCTAAGATGGAAAGCAGGGGGGTTGTGTCCCTGAGTAGCAGGTGGTCCAGGAGGAAACATCCAGAAGGGCAGAGACATATGGCTGGGGAGAGGAGATGGGAGATGGGGGTGGGGGTGGGAGGCAAGGAGGAAGATATTTGTGGCCCAGCTCTTTGACAAGAGAAAACAATTCTCGGTACCTAGGCTTCTTAAAGCACTAAATCATGTTCTGCCCTGCGGTGGTCCCAGTGAGTTGTTTATGTGTCTGGCTCCTTCACTAGACTGGGTGCTCCTGAAAGCAGGGCCTCATTCTCTTTGCATTCTGGGTGCTGGCACCCACAGCCACTCAAGGACAAGTATACTGAGTCAGATGTCTGGTGGCGACCTGGGCTTTCCCTCTGCTCCCCCCATCTGCTCCCCCCACCATCTGGCTTTAGGAACTCTCCACACACCCTCCTGCTGAAATCCTGACTTATTCTTTCCATTCCCCTGCCTGGACCTGGAGGCTCCCCAGGGGAAGGGAGAGGTGGAGAGAGGAAAGGCACAATAACAGGCAGTGGGCCCTGGACTGGTGTGAAATCCAAGGAAAGATCTGGAAGTACAGATAGGTGGCTGGCTTAGGATATAGTACTCAGCACATGCAGACAAGATTAGGCTGCATGTGCCTTTGTGGGAGCCTCGCCCTTGGAGAGTGCATGTGTGCCCCTTTGCATGCCCACTTGAGTGTGTGCTTGTCCCAGTGAGCGTGCGTGTGACAGGGGCCCTCCCTGCAGGTCCCGCCTGTGTGCTTCTGCCCTAGTGCAGTGTGTGCAGGAGCGTGCATGGGAGATTGGGGAGCCCCTGGTACTTTCCTTCATCGCTTTGTCTCCAGGTTTAGTATGCCCCCAACGAGGGGTAGGTATGCTCGGTACCAACACCCGGAAAGATTCCTGGGAGTCCCCTGGAGGGGGTGCTACTCGGACCTTGGATGAAAGAGGCACACATCCCCCCCACACACAGTCCCAGTGACCTCAGGGGGGATGGCTTCTGCTCACATTTGACCTTCTTAGGACCCCAGCTCAGGTAACACCACCGTTTCCTCCATGGACCTGGCAGGAACTCTCCTGCCTTCCGCAGCCCCTCTAAGTCACCCTTCCTGGCCTTCTAAAGACCATCTCCCTCCGCAAGATAGGATCCCGGCTACCGTCCCCACCCCCACTCACCCGGGGTCCGCGAGGCTCCGCCCCTAGGCCCCTCCCCCTGCTCGGGACCCCCGAGCCCCGCCCCCGGCGCGGTCCCTTCCCCGACACCGCGGACAGCTCCGGCCGCCGGGCGGGGGCAGCGGCGCGGGACTGCGGCTGCGGCGGCCGGCTCGGGGTGCGGGGCGCCGGGCGCGCTGCGGCGGAACCGGCGGGGGAAGGGGCGCCACGCCCGGGGAATGGACGACCGCGCCCTGGGAAGGGGCGCCACCGGCTCTCACCTCCTCTCGGGCGGGGCCCTCGTCCGTAGCCGCCGCCGCCGTGGGCTCCTCCGGGACCCCGGGGCCGCCACCGCCGCCGCCGGCGCCGCCGCCGCTCTCTCCCGCGGCCGAGCCAGGGGGGGACATGGCGTAGAGGGGGCGCGTCGAGCTCAGGGCCTCCCGGGGGGCTGCCGGGGGCCGGGGGCATCCTGCGCCGGCCCTGGGGAGGGGGGCGGGAGGGGGCGGGGCCCTCGCTGCTCCCCACCCCCCGCCGGGGGGAGGGGGCCTGGAAAGGGCTCCACGGGTAAGGGGCTTGGGGATAGGGATGGGGAGGCGGGCTGGGGGGCCGGGCTGGGGGGGCCGGGGCCGGGGGCGGGTGTCACCTTGAGGCCCTCGCGGCGCCGCTCCGCCTCCCGCCCGCTCCCGCCGCCGCCTTTTGTCTGAGCGGAGCTGGAGCCAGCGCGCCCCCCCTCTTCCTCCCAGCACAGGAGCCCCGCCCCCGGCCCCCCAAACTCCGCCTTCCCCAAGCCTACCTAACAGCCACCCCAAAGGGGACAAGCAACAGGGGCTCCCGGCACCCCTTCCTCACTCCCAGCCCCGCTCGCTACCCGCACCGCCGCCATCCTTCTTCCGAGGAGGAGAAAACTAAGCCCAAACTCCTCCGTCTGTTCGCGGAGGGGGCGCCAGCGGCCAGCTCACATCCCTCCCCACTGTGGGTTCTCGCAAGTTCCCAGGGCTGAGAGTGGGGAGAGGAAATTGAGTTGGGGAACCCTAGGCAAGATCCCCATTCCCAGTTGGATGGTAAAGGGTTAAGGCAGGAGCCAGACTTCAGAGGCCATACCTAGCTGAACAAGGTTGGGAAAGGCTGAAAAGGAAAGGATTGGAGCTGGATGTGAGGAAGGACTAGCAGAGGGCAGAAGAGAGGATATTGAAACCAGCCTTCACTGAACTAGCTTTCTATCCTAGAAGAAAAGTCCCAGAGAAGCAATGAAGTGTGTACATTGCCCTAGACTGGAGATCAGGAAACCTGAGAAGAGATTCTTAATCCTGGCTCTGTCATTAGCTGTGTGACCTTGGGCAAATGCCTTCCCCTCTCTGAGCCTTAGTTTCCCCATTTGTGCAGTGAGAAAGTTGACTGAACAATCTCTAAAGCTCTGACTTTTGAGTGTAGGAGGCCAAGTCAGAGGCCACATGCAGGTCGCCTGTCTCTTCATGTCATCTACCCACAGTGCTCCTTCCCACCCCAGTTAGGGGCAGAAAGAAAGCTGCCATTCATTCATTCCTGAATGCATCCATTCAATAAGAAAGTATTAAGAACCTACTGTGCCCTGTATAGAAATGCAAAATACAATTTCCCATCTTCAAGGAGCACAAAGTCTAATGGGGAAGAAGGACACGGAAGCCTGTCATTATGAAAGAATAAGATAAAGGCTATGCTTGACCCATTTGTGTGTGCACAGTCACCAAGGAAGCCTGTTGTGTGTCATGCGCTACATTAGTCTTTGACATATAGTGACTTTCCCCGTTTACCCACAAGGAACCAAGGTAGAGAGGAGGTGAGGGACTTTCTCAAGGTCACCCGCTGGTACTCACAGAGTGGTCCTAGAATCCAGACTTTTCCCATTCAGATGTCCATGGGGATCTTCAGGGGTCGGAGGTCAGCTTGAGGCAAAACCTGGATATCTGATCTTTGGGAATAGAGGACAAGCCCACTGCTCTTCTGACAGTCCTGCCCCTCATTTGGGGCAGAAGAGCCTCTACCTTCACCCACACACCCACCTCCCTACTCTTGGTCCTGTCTCCATGTTACTACTCTTCTCTTTCCAGGGAAGCTGAAAGGGGCTCTCGGTCTGCCCGTCAGTTCAGTACTACCCAGCCTGTGTGATCCTCCCCAGGTCAGTGAGTCCATCCTCCCTGCCCAAACCGAGGGGGAGTATGGTCCCAAAAGGCATGGTTCTCCCTCATCCCCATGGCAAAGGAGGAATCTCGTTGGCTCATTCCAATGTCTCTCTCCTACCCATAATTTTTGAGAAGTCCTGCCCACAACTAATTCTAACTCCTCTTCTGGTTTCAGTTCATTTCACCTAATTCAGTACTTACTGCAGATAGACAGCAGAGGTCCTAATCCTGGCCTTTCCTAACCCAGATAGGATCTTCACACTCCCCATTTAGTTGTTCTAATCTTCCTCCTGTTCCCCAGCCCCACTACCTTCATCACTCCACTGCAGGGGGCTTCAGAAGAGAGAGAGCTCAACTTCTTTTGGCCAACCCCAGAGCTTTCAAGAGATAAAAGACCACCTCCCCTTTCTCCATACATATGCATTACCCCTCCTTGGAAGCCCAGAGAAAAAAGGGGGCTGTGGAAGGAGCCAGCTGACCAGCTGGTCACCATAGCAACTGGGCCTGTTTCCTGAAGATGAGTCTGGCTGGAGTGGGCAGAGATGGGGAGTGGGAGCATGACAAAGGGAACCAGAAAACAAGAGAGAGAAGAGGACCTTGGAGAAGACTGGGTGGGGCTGAGGGAGTGAAGTCAGGACCCTGATCATGCTGTGACTTGAGTCAGAGTGCCCAGGTCATCTTTCCAGATGACACTGACATGGTCCCTGTCCCCATTCCTAAATTGTACTCAGAAGGGCTTCTTATCGAGTGCAGACTAGGTGCTGGAAGCAGTTAGTGACTCAATGCTGACCTCATGTGGCCAGAAAAGGGGCTGCCACATACCCGTTAGGGTTTAGAGTCAGACACGGGCAGGTTTCTGGCTAGATTAATGGGGTAGGTTTTTCCTTAAAATCAGCCTGTGGGTATAACAGAGGTGCTCCCTGCACACCCTTGAGTTCTTGTGTCCTTGCAAAGGGCTTGGATGCCCCCAACTTCTTAGACCTTCATGAAGGAAAGAAAGTCACTGAAAACATTGTTTGTTTGTTTTTATTTGGCTGCACCTGCCCTGGGGCTTAGTTGTGGCATGCAGGATCTAGTTCCTGGACAAGGAATCAACCTTGAGCCCCCCTGAACTGGCAGCTGAAAGTCTTAAGCCCTGGACTACCAGGGAAGTCCCTCACTGAAAACATTTTTAAAGTTTTGTATGAGGAACAGGAGAACACAGCTCTACACTTTCAGATTGTTTGACCTTGGGCAAGTCAACTCACCTTCCTGGGCCTCAGCTTCCCAACTTTAAAACGGAGATGATTTTGAACCCAAGTGGTTAAGGTCTGTATTTTTGCTGCAGCCTTTGAGATTGGGAGAGGAATGGGTCAGGGGAGGAAGCTGAGGATGTCTGAAATCACAATGACCCCAAGGGAAGGAGATGCCTCATTTTCCTTGGGCTTTCCCCTCATGGCTCCTCACCCTCTCATGCTCAACACATCCTCCCGACTCTGGCCTTCAGTGGGGGGTGGAGAACAGTGGGTCACCTCCTGCTGTCTGTCCTCCCCCCTCCCTTCTCCCTCCACTCACCCCCTTCCCAAACAGAGACAAGATACTTCTCCCCAGCCCTCTTCCCTTCCCATCTCCAGTTCAAATGGAACCTCCTCTACCGCTCACCCCATTGGGTAGTTGGCCCCATGTTGTGCCCCTCCAGCATCCTGTTCTAACTCCTGTCTTAGCCCAATCATTCTGTGTTGCAACTGCTAGGGGGTTTTGAAGGCTGGAACTGTGGGACATTGTTTGTTTGTTTGTTTGGGGGGGGGTGGTAGTTGTTGGTTATTACTGTTACTGTGAGCCTCCGTTTTGCTTCCAGCAGAGAGAACAATGTCAGGCATATAGAAGAAGCTCCTTACATGTCTATCAAATGGATGAATAGAATGAGGTTTCATGGGGAGGGTGGGAGGGAACCTGGTTAGTAGCTGTGTGTTCACACCCCAGCTTCCTTCCTCCAAAGCCAGAGTTGGGAAAGGGAGATGTTTTCTTAGAGGTGATTTTTCTAAGAGCATTTCTGGAATTTGGGGTAGGGGATAAATATTGGGCAGCTGATTTGGGGCTCACCACGTGGGTGGGATTTGCCTACAGCCTCCTGAGGCTAGGACCAGGGAAAGTAGGGATGGAAAAGGGGGAAAGACGTGCTGGTACTAGGGCTGAGGCTGCCAAGGGGACCTCAGCAGAGTGCTGCCCAGAATGTCTGGGGCCTCCCCATCCTGGCCCCACCATGAGGAACTACACTTGCCCAACCAGATGCTGTTACTGTCTGAGACTAGTATTTTATCCCTGTGAGGAATGACCACTCTGCTTTTTTAGACCACAGTCTTTTCAGCAGAAAAACCACTTGCGAAAAGCACATCCTCATGTCCAATTCTATGTGATCTGAAAAACTGACACAGGAGACTCTGTATCCAGAACCCAAAGGGAGAACTCCTTTAAAGACATGGGTGTCCCCTTTATCTCCGGGAAAAGCAAGAGAAATTGAGAGTAGTGGGCCGGGGACAGGTAGCAACGCTTCCCCGTCCCACCTCCCACGTGCCCTCCGCAGAAGACGCCCAGCTTATGCAGACGATTAACATATATTCCTCTTAAACGAAAGAATAAATGAATGAATGGGAAAATGAATGAAGAAAACAGAGGAAGTGAAGGAAGGAAAGAAAGAATGTATGGCATTAATACATGGAATGAAGGAAGGGGGAAAGAGTGAATGAATGGACGGTTGGATGAATGAATGAATGGGTGAGTTAACGCAAGAGTGAGTCAGGACCGGGGAACCCCTGACTCGGAGCCAATGCAGAGGGCGGGGTAAGGGGGATTCCGAAGGGCGGGGCCTCCATCCGGAAGCGCGGCGCCTGCCGGGGGCGGGGCCTGAGGGCGGGGCGAGCGAGCGCTTCTGACTGGGCTGCCCAGCTGCCCCGAGTAGCGGCTGCCTTGGACCCCGGCGGCGCGGCGAACCTCGTCCACGCTTCTCGCCGACCCCCGCAGGCCCCCCAGCAGCCCGGGAAGGAGGCCACTTCGGGTCCCGCACCCGCTCTGCGAGGCGGACCTGCAACCCGGAAAGGCGGCGAGGAGTCGGATCCTGCTGGGACCGGGCCCGGCGGACCGGCGTCGCGGGGATGTCGGAGGCGCGGAAGGGGCCGGACGAGACCGATGAGAGCCAGTATGACTCGGGCATCGAGTCTCTGCGCTCCCTGCGCTCCCTGCCCGAGTCCACCCCGCGCCCAGTCTCGGGGCCCTCAGACGGCGGGGGCCCCCAGCCCTGGATTCATCCTCCGGGAACCGCCAAGGAGCCAGAGGAGAAGGAAGACACGGACGGGGAGCGGGCTGACTCCACCTACGGCTCCTCATCGCTCACCGAGCCCCTGTCCTTATCGGGGGACCCCAGGACCGAGGACGCAGTTCCAGACTCACCGCTCCCCGCTGCCGGGGCGCTGAGCCCTCAGCAGCTGGAAGCACTCACGTACATTTCCGAGGACGGAGACACGTGAGTATGGGGGCTAGGGTAAGAGAGGACCCCTTCCTCCTTTCCGATGCTAACTCGGGGCCTTCCCCAGGAGCCGGACAACAGGCCCGGCATTCCCTTTGTGAGGATCCCTAAAGGCACCAGCTCTGAAGGGGCGGTCCCCACTCTCTCTTTCAAACTGAACTCTCAACCCACTTTTGAGCTGTAGCCAGACCCAGTCCAGAGGACCTGGCATCGTCTGTCTGCCCCACCTTTTGGCAGGGCCCTTACCAGGCACCTGGAACCCCAGCTAGCCTCTTGGAAATCTACCAGTAACCCATCCCGGGGAAGAGAAAATTCCCCTGACCAGCCTAGTTTTGTTTTGTTTTTCTTGCTGGGGGACAGGGCATCCTTGTTTGCTTAATATCTGGGATTCCCGGCCTCTGACCTCAGAATGCCCTGTCTCAAAGAACAAGAGGGGCCAGTTACAGGCTGCCAGTGGGCCCAGGAAGCTGGGGTCCGACGTGCTGCCAGGGTGCATGGCTGAGGCTGGCCTGTGGAGTAAGTGAGCCAGGCTGGGGCACTCTTGCCCCAGCAGACAGACAGGCGGCTGGCTACCCCAGCTAACTTCCTCCTCTGTTGAGAAAGGGGAAGTGAGGGCTAGAGTCAGCCTTACCGACACTCTCCACCTCCTGAGTTCTACAAATCCCCCTCACTGTCCTATGTGACCCCTTCACTTCATCCTTCCTCCCCAGGCCCAGGTGGAGCTTGGTGGAGACTGGGGTGGGGTGGGGGTGGGGGGTCAGAGGGGCAGTTGAAGTAAGAGGCAGTTGTGTGGTAGGGGCTGGCCAGGTGAGAATTCGCCCTTCAGGAAGAAAAGACTGACGAGAGAGGGGGTGGCTGGGATTTGGGGATGGGAAACAGAGTGGAGGGGGGCTGGGGTCCTGGACCTGGGATGCTGGAATGAACCGGGATGAGGAGGCAGGAGCTCTCTGTCTTGATCTGCTTTTTTGGAGATGCAAAGGTCCTGGGTGGCCTCTGACAGAGACAGACTCTGGACCCACTGGGTGACCCTAAGCCTTTTTGTCCTCTGTGCCTAGAGATCACCAGCCCTCAGGCCCACAACCAAGATTGTGCGGGCTCTGTTCAGAATACCTGTGGTTGACCTTTGACCCATGGAGTGGAGGCTTCTGCCCTGCCCCCCTTGCTTAGCCTCTCAGTCCCAGCTTTAATTGCCTCTAGTTAGAGACAGATGTGGAATCTAGACCTAGGGGCGGGGGTAGGGAGGGAGGTGTCAAGACCCCCCAGGAGGTTCCCGGAGAGGAGAGGGCGCTTTCTTCCCTCCCGGAGGTGTCTGGGCTGTGGACACATGGAAATGGGAAGAGGAAGTGGGAGGAGGGAGACTGAGGGAGAGAGGGAGGTGGCTGCAGGAATGTGACCAGAGAGCAGGCCCTGGCCGAGGGGATTTCCAGCGCGGTTCCTCCCTCCCTCCCTCCCTCCGTCACTCTCTCCTGGGCCTCGCCAGCCACCAAAGCCCGCCCCCCCTCCTGCCCCAAGCAGCCCCCTCCCCAGCCCAGACGGGCCTTTCAGCCAGGCTTCCCCCTGACAAATGCCCCAGCAGCTGCCTGCCCTGGCCTAGACCCTCTGGCTCTGGCTTTCATTTTCCCCACCTGATGTGGGGAAACCCCAGGGCTGGAACTTCCCCTCCTGGCCGCCCCAGGTTAAGGCTCTTTATCCCCCACACCAAGCGCACATTTTCTGCACTGCACAGTCCTCCTCTCAGAGGCACACGCAGGAGCGGGGCCCCAGGTCAGGCCCCGTCCCAGCCCTTCTGTCTGAAGAATGGCCCTCTGGCTGGCCCGTGGAGGGCAGCAGGAGAGGGTGCTGCTCTGTCTCCTTTCTCCTCTTCCAAGAGCTTCTGTCTCCTCTCTTTCGGGAGGTGTTCATGAGGGGACAGAGGGTGACCCCACCCCTGCCCTCTCTGCCCTCCCCACTGAGGGGGGCAGAGGTGGGGAGCCCAGCCCTGGAAACCACCTCTGTGCTACCCCAGCGGCTTTCAGTTTGGCTTTGAGCTGCAGCTGCCTAGTGGGGGCCCCAGGGGGCCAGAGGGGAGCGGGGTGTGGGCAGGGTGGACAGGAAGGACCTTGTCCCGTCAGCACCCTGCCCACGTTCTCACTCAGCCAAGACCCTCCCAAAGGCCAGAGATGGGAACTTGGAGCTTCCACCCTCGGGATCCTGGCTTCCCGCAGCAACCCTCACTTCCTGGCCCAAACTCTCACTTCCTGCACCTACCCTCTGGGTGGCAACTTAGACATTGATGTGTTCCTTCTAACCCCAGAACCCCGGCCCACTCTGTCTGGCCTGAGCCCTGACCCCACACCTTGCCTCTGCCTCCCAGGCTGATCCACCTGGCGGTGATTCACGAGGCCCCCACTGTGCTGCTGTATTGCCTGGCTCTACTGCCCCAGGAAGTCTTGGACATTCAGAACAACCTTTACCAGGTGGGTGGAGATGGTGGGCTGAGCCCAGATAACCTGGGTCTGCCCCAGCAGCCACCCCCAGCCACCAGAAAGCATCCTTTGGCTGCTCCCTCAGGGAACCAACCATATGCCAGACACTGGGCAAGAAGCTGAGGACAGAGAGACAAGTAGGAAACAGACTCTGCCCACAAGGTGCTTGAGCCTGGGCTAGAGGACTCGTGTCAACAGCTAATGACACAGCACGGTGACAAGAGTGGTGATAGAGACACATACCAGCTGCTGTGGGAACCACTGTCTGTGGGAAGCAGCCAGGGAAGGTGTTAATACAGGACATGATGTCTGCAGGGAGCCTCTGTCGCCTCCTGCTGAGACCTCAGCCCCTCACCTGGGATAACAGGCTTCCCCAGAAGATGAGAAGCTAGACTCTGCTCCCACCATCACCATCACACCCTGTCCTTCCCTGCCCCAGCTCTGTTCTTTCTCCGGGGCCGGGGGTGGGGGGCGGGTGGGGGTGGTGCTAAGGGGACTTAAAGAGTAGCAGGGGGCCACTTGCCTTACCCTACCTCCAGAATTGGGGCCCCGAGAGTTTGATAGGGGATAACAGAAGGAAGACCAGGGCCATAGCCTTTATAAGCATTCCTCAAAGAAGGGGCTGGCTGCTGGCAATTCCCGTGCCCACCCCAGCAGGCTCCCAGAGGTTGCAGCATGTTGCAGCCACCCCGTGACCCTCTCTTTGTGCCTGCAGACAGCACTCCATCTGGCTGTACATCTGGACCAGCCAGGTGCAGTTCGGGCCCTGGTGATGAAGGGGGCCAGCCGGGTGCTGCAGGACCGACACGGTGACACAGCCCTGCATGTGGCCTGCCAGCGCCAACACCTGGCCTGTGCCCGCTGCCTACTGGAGGGGCAGCCAGAGCCGGGCAGAGGACCACCTCACTCCTTGGACCTCCAGCTGCAAAACTGGCAAGGTACAGGTGGCCTCAGGGCCCATGGGAGGAGGAGGGGACAGGAGACAGGGACCCCACTCTCAGGCAAGGGAGGGTCACAGCTTGTCTATTGATGCATCTCCAGTTCTAAGCACACAGGTACTCAGAATACCTTTGTTGAATGAAGGAGTGAATGAATGAATGGTTTCTGGTTAGAATTTATGGAGAACCTATTATATGCTAAGCAGAGAGCTCAACTTTGCCCTCAAGATGTACAGTTTGGGGGGCTTCCTTGGTGGCTCAGTGATAAAGAATCCTCCTGCCAGTGCAGGAGACACGGGTTCGATCCCTGATCTGGGAAGATCCCATATGTCATGGAACAACTAAGCCCAAGAGCAACAACTACTGAGACTGTGCTTTAGAGCCTGGGAACTGCCACTGTTGAGCCCATGTGCCACAGCTTCTGAAGTCCGTGTGCCCTAGAGCCTGTGCTCTGCAACAAGAGAAGCCACCACGATAAGAAGCTGTAGCGCTGTAACTAGCAGAGTAACCCCAGAGAAAAGCCCACACAACAACGAAGACCCTGGCCCAGCCAAAAACAAATCAATAGATAAAATTATAAAAAAAGAAAAAAGATATTCAGTTTGACAGAGATTAGATGAACTCCTTAATCCAGTCAACAAAAAGGTACTGAGAACTTTCTCTGTACCAGACATTATTGTAGGAGCCAGACCTGCATCTGTGAGTAAAACAAGAGAATGTCTGAGACAAGCAATAAACGTAAGAAGTGAGTTCTCTGGCAGGTTAACAGGCAGTCACTGCTGCCTGGGGACAGGAGAGCCAGGTGAGGGGGCTTAAGTTGGGGGGGGGGGCTTGATGGGATTTTTAAACAGAGTGGTCAGGGAGAACCCTCATGGAGCAGGGACATTTGAGCAGAGACTTGAAAGAGATGAAGGATGTGAATTTGCATCGAGTTCTCAAGAAGAGAGCTAGCACAGGGGGGCTTATGGAAGGAGGAGGCCCCCGGGGAGGGGCTGGGGGCCTGAGGATCCCTAGAGCTCTGAGGAAGGTGACTTTTAGAAGGGGCCTGAAGGCAGGTAGAGTTTTACAAAAAGACTGTGTGCGTTCGGACAGGGGAGGACAGTATGTGGTGGGGGAGGGTGTGTGTATGGGGGGATGTCACTTAGCAACCTGACTCCCGAAGCGTGAAAGTTTCAATAACATGACTGAAAAGGTGGAAACTTTGAGTTCCTTTCCCCCCAGACTTTTGAGGGGTTTTTTGGGTTTGTGTTTTAACAGTCTTGTGATCAGAGGCACTGAGCAGGCAGGGACAGGGCGGGGGGTCCCTTGGGGCTGAGGGGTAAGGGAGGTCCCTGAAGAAAGGGAGAGCGAGCTGGCAGATGCAGCCCCCACCTTCACCCCTTCCTCCCCATCTCAGGTCTGGCCTGTCTCCACATCGCCACCCTGCAGAGGAACCGGCCACTCATGGAACTGCTGCTTCAGAACGGAGCTGACATTGACGTGCAGGTGAGGTGCCCCATCAGAGAGCTGCCGGGCCCAGGGCCCAGGCACGGGGCCCCTGTTCTTAGAGGCATGCCTCCTCTGAGGGCCTTGGCTGACATCCCTCTCCCCCCGCAGGAGGGCACGAGTGGGAAGACAGCGCTGCACCTGGCCGTGGAGACCCAGGAGCGGGGTCTGGTGCAATTCCTCCTCCAGGCAGGCGCCCGGGTGGATGCCCGCATGCTCAATGGCTGCACACCCCTGCACCTGGCGGCAGGCCGGGGCCTCGGCAGCATCTCGTCCACCCTGTGCGAGGCAGGTGCTGACTCCCTGCTGCGAAACGTGGAGGATGAGACTCCCCAGGACCTGGCTGAGGATGTAAGAGGCAGACACTCAGCTCTGCTGTCCAGGGCCTCCCACATCCCTACTGGAGACAGGAGCTATCACAGCTGAAAGGGCCAAGGAGTTAGGAGCCTGGGGTTGTAATCCACGACTCTGTCACTCTCCCAGCCTGTGTTCTCAGGACCCGGGGCCCGAACTCGGGACTCCTGCAGGAGCCATGCAGCTAAAGCGGGCTGGGGCCTGTGGGAAACCAGTCTTTTGTCTGAGGGTCACTCGCTCTACTGAGCTTCAGCAGATTCTTGCAGCAGAGGAAGACGGACCCAATACTTCCAGATCTTGGATTTTTTTTTAAGAGAGATAAAACCTAGAGTTTGTGTAGAATCTTTCCCATTTTTAAATATTTGATGTAAAAAAAAAATTCAAAATGTTTTGTGAGTGCCCTCTCTCAACACCCTCCACTCCCAAAACGAAAGCCAGAACAGGCCCCAGTTGCCCAGAGGGACCACTGTCTTGGGGATTAGTAGGAAGATTTGCTCCCTGATGTCCTTCAGCGATCACTTGGTGGGGAGGAAAGGCCTAATGGGTCTCCCAGCTTCCTTCGCCCACTGCCACCTCTGTCCACTGGCCCTGATCTTGCTTCTCTCCATTCCTTTCCTCAGCCCTTTGCCCTGTTGCCCTTTGATGACCTGAAGATCTCCGGGAAGCCACTGCTGTGTGCTGACTGAAGCCGGACATGCTCTCGGACCCCGGATGCTCCCCCTCTTCCCATCTGGAAGCTGGAGCCACGCTGATGCAGTCTGGGCCCAGGCCGTGTGTCCTGGGAACTGCTAAGGCCAGAGCCTGGGGCCAGCACAGTCTTGAGCTGAGAGGAACCATCCCAAGTGAGAGAGCCAGTCTGGAAGGAAGAGCTTCGGAGTGGATAGAAGATTCCTCAAATCCCCAGGCAGCGTGGGCGAAGCCTGTTGGCCTCTGTCAAAGATGGCAGGGCTCTCACCTCTCCCACATGGGGTCAGCCTGAAGCTGCCAACCAGTTAAGACAACATGGACTCTTCCAAATGAGGAGAGATACTGAACTGTGAGTGAGCAGGGCCCGGAAGGGTTCCAGCTCTCTGCCAAGGAGGACTCTGAAACACTGTTGCTTAAAGACTTCGCACAGAAGGCCCTGAACTTCTGGGGAAGGGGAAGTTTCAATAACATGACACTAAAACGGCAGAAACTTTTAACTCCCACCCCCACCCCCGGTTGTTTTGCGTGTGTGCGTGCGCGTGCCTGTGTGCACTGGGGATTTCTAGACAGACCTGTCCTGTGACCTTGTGGTGAAGGCAGAGAGAAGGAAATTGGTACTTGAGTAGTGTAGGGCCTTGCCAGGGTGGGTAGGGAGGCTGATGGTCCTCAGGCCTCTCTGTTCAGCCCAGACTCTTGCCCTTTCTGTGGAAATGCAGAGGATGGAGGAAGAAAAAGAGGAGTGAGAAGATGCAAGTGGGAGCCTCATCACTTCCTTGGAAGAGCGTTGGGAGAAGGGTTAGTCTGTGAAGAGTACACGAGGGAGCATGGCTTCGTATGTTTTTTCTCTCATTCCACATGTGTTTGAGGCATCTATTAGGTCAGGCCTATGCTGTGATAGAATTTGGGGAATAAAGCAATACAGTTTCTGACCATTTAGAGATTATAGTCTAGTGAGTGAGACAGATATTAAAATCATAAACATCTAAATACGTAATTGCAAGTTGCAATGGAAGGAGAAGCTCGTGGGAGGGAGAACGATGGGCTGGGTGGAGGGCCATACTTGGTGGTCAGGGGAGGCCTGAGTAGGGGACACGTCCTCAGTTGCTCAGTCGTGTCTGACTCTTTGTGACCCATGTACCTTAGTCCACCAGGCTCCTTTCCATGGGATTCTCCAGGCAAGAATGCTGGAGTGGGTTGCCATTTCCTCCTCCAGGGGATCTTCCTGAGCCAGGGATCGAACCTGCATCTCCTATGTCTCAACTTGCATTGGCAGGTTTACCACTGAGCCACCTGGGAAGCTGCAGGAGGGGACAGGGGAGAGCTTCCCTGGGGAAAGGTTTTTTGGTGAATTAGTAGAACCGGGAGCAAGCCAGTAGGAATCTGCAGGGAATGGGTGAGTGGGCGAGGTACACGGGGGACAGGTCATGCACATCCTCAAAGGTCATGTGGATGGGGGGGCAAGACCGGCCCAAGCCCCCAAAGCAAGTAGACATCTTCCTGCCAGAAAACGGGGAAGCGGTAACATAAGGGGGGATGTTAAAACGGTAACATAACGGGTATATACTTGGAATGCAGAACCTCCATATCCGCGTCCCTAGGACGGCAGTGGTCACCGCCACCTCCAGGCCGGTGGACAGGGCTGCAGGCGATGACGAAGCGGAGGTGACACCGGGCTCCCGCGCGCCGAGCCTCGTCTCCCGCCGGGCCGCGAGGGGGCGCTATGGCCCAGCGGCGGCCCGGGGCGCTGCATGGTCGCGGCCGGGGCCGGAGGGGGGGCCGCGGGAGGGAGGCGGGAAGAGCGTTGCACTTCCGCTGGCCGGCGGCTCCTGGAGGCCACTGTGGGAGCGGAGGGAGCGCGCGGCCCGGGGCCCCGCAGTCCCCGGCCCCCCCTCCGCCCCACGCAGCCGGGACCATGGACCCCAGGTGGGGACTAGGGGGTGGGGGGAGCGGCGAGCCCACGTGACCGAGCCCCGCGACACGTGACCGCCGATCCTCCGCGCGCGCGGGGGGCCGGGCGGGGTCCCAGCTCCCGGGCGGGTGGCCGGTCTAGCGCCGCCCGGAGCTGGCGCGGGTGGGGACGCGCCGTGGCCTTGTGCTCCTCGGGGCCTCCAGGAGGGTCGGGAGAGAAGTCGCGGGAGGGACCCTGGATCTTTGGGAGCTCCGAGGGCGGGGTCGGGGGGCGCCGCGCCTCTAACCGGAGCGGCCGGTGGGCGCTGGAGGGAACAGAGGGGACCTGTGTGGCCGGAGGGGCGGGTCCGCTCTTGAGGACGGAGGGAGCCCAGCCTGGCCCGCGCCGCCCTCCACACCCTCCCTCCCCACCCGGGAGAGAGAGAGGCTCTTTGTCCGTGCTGGGCTGCAGCTGAGGGGGGCGGGGAGGAGGCTCCGGGCCCTTCTCCAGTGTCGTCCCCTCTGGAGGGCGCAGAGGGTGAGGAGCTGTACTCTGATCTTGGTGCTCGCAGGTGGTGGGCAGTGGTGGTGCTGGCTGCGCTGCCCTCCCTGGGGGTAGGTGGGGAGAAGAACCCCGAAGCCCCTCCGGAGTCGTGGACACAGCTCTGGTTCTTCCGCTTTTTGGTGAACGCGGCTGGCTATGCAAGCTTTATGGTACCTGGCTACCTGCTGGTGCAGTACTTCAGGCGGAAGAATTACCTGGAAACAGGTGTGTGGGGAAAGAGAGGGGGACGTGTGCTTGCTCTAGATTAAGTGCAAAGGGGATGGGCTTTGGCACGCGAGGCAGGGCGGGCTGGCGGCAGTGGGGAAGATGAAGTGCCAGGAAAAGTTTCGGTTTCACCTTGTGCACTTTCTCCAGGTAGGGGTCTTTGCTTCCCCCTGGTGAAAACGTGTGTGTTTGGCAATGAGCCCAAGGCCCCGGATGAGGTTCCCCTGGCTGCCCGGGCAGAGCCAGTGGAGACCAGTCCCACTTGGCAGGCCCTGAAGCTGCTGTTCTGTGCCTCGGGGCTCCAGGTAGGTAGGTGGGCTCTGCCGCTTTCCCTGGGTGGGGTCCCTGAGGAGCCAGCGCGCTCACCCCACCAGTCCCAGCAGTTGGCTGGTGGCTGTGTTTGTGTGTTCTACCAGAGGCATACCATCATCTTAGGGGTGGTTGGAGGAAACACTGTCTTTTCTTTCCTATTTTCTCACCCTCTGGGATTTTTCCCTTCCCCCTCTACTGTATGTAAGAGGGACACTGACACCCTGACCCCATGGCATGTTGGAGTGGGCACTTCTGTTTCCACCTTGTATGCTAAGTTGGACGAATGGGTGTCCGATCTTTTAGGCCCCTGAATTGGTTGAAAATAGAGAAGAAAATACTTGGGATGGAGTCAGCTCTGACATACCCTACTGTGGGGACAAACAGGGTCTGATCAGTCTTAAAGCATTAATCATTGTGTTTCACACACACTTGATTCTCAACAAGGTGAGTCCAGGTTTGGGAGAGAAGAGGCAAGTAACTTGTAGTTACTACAGAGTGTTTCAGTGTCCATCTTAATCATTTTCAACATCATCCTGAGAAAGGAGGAGGTGGTCAGGATGCTTTGGGGCCTGCTGCTGTTTCCTTCTCTTGTGTATCTTCTCCGCTGTCTCTGCCCTCCCCTGCCAAGGTGTCTTATCTGACGTGGGGAGTGCTGCAGGAAAGAGTGATGACCCGCAGCTATGGGGCCACAGCCACATCGCCAGGCGAGCGCTTCTCCGACTCTCAGTTCCTGGTGCTCATGAACCGAATCCTGGCCCTGATGGTGGCTGGCGTCTACTGCATCTTATGCAAGCAGCCCCGGCATGGAGCACCCATGTACCGGTACTCCTTTGCCAGCCTGTCGAATGTGCTTAGCAGCTGGTGCCAGTACGAAGCTCTCAAGTTCGTCAGCTTCCCGACCCAGGTGCTGGCCAAGGCCTCCAAGGTGATCCCCGTTATGCTGATGGGAAAACTGGTGTCTCGGCGCAGCTATGAGCACTGGGAATATCTGACGGCTGGCCTCATCTCCATCGGGGTCAGCATGTTCCTGCTGTCCAGCGGACCAGAGCCCCACAGCTCGCCGGCCACCACGCTCTCAGGCCTCATCCTGTTGGCAGGCTACATTGCCTTCGACAGCTTCACCTCCAACTGGCAGGACGCCCTGTTCGCCTATAAGATGTCATCGGTGCAGATGATGTTTGGGGTCAACCTCTTCTCCTGCCTCTTCACGGTGGGCTCCCTGCTAGAGCAGGGGGCCCTCCTGGAGGGCATCCGCTTCATGGGGCGACACAGCGAGTTTGCAGCGCACACCCTGCTGCTGTCCATCTGCTCTGCGTGTGGCCAGCTCTTCATTTTCTACACCATTGGGCAGTTTGGGGCTGCCGTCTTCACCATCATCATGACCCTCCGCCAGGCCTTTGCCATCCTCCTTTCGTGCCTCCTCTACGGCCACACTGTCACTGTGGTGGGGGGCCTGGGAGTGGCTGTGGTCTTTGCTGCCCTCCTGCTCCGGGTCTATGCCCGGGGCCGTCTAAAGCAGCGGGGAAAGAAGGCCATGCCAGTCGAGTCATCTGTACAGAAGGTTTAAGGGCCCAAGGGGTGACTAGGGCCCGCTCACTGTACCAGTTTTTCTCTCCTACTGTCACTTCTCGGAGGCAGCTGGCTCCAGGGCAAAATGCAGGTTTTTCTACCAGCGCTGCAGCAGGGGGCAGGGAGCCCAGGAGGCGGCCTTCCCCGTTGCCTTAAGTCACCCAGCCTCCAGTGGGCAGGGTTCTTCCCAGGATGGAGAGAACAGTGGGGGACTGAGAAGGTGGAGGTGCCTTCCGAAGCCCCTCCCTTCTCCAGTTCCCCGAAGTCTTGCCCTGGAGGCTCTGCTTGTGCCCTTCCCTGACTACTACCCTTTCAGACTCCGAGACTTGCGTTTCTTACTCCAGTGCGAGAGGCACAGGTGTAGGCTCCCGATGCTGCTTTCCCAGGAGAGAAAGTGAGCGATGGTGCTGTGCTGGGCGAGGGGTTGGGAATCCTGCCCGGCACCACCAGCCCCCTGCTCCTGGATCCCTAGGCTCTGCCCTACAAACCAGTTGCAGGTTTTGGTACTTTGGAAATATAACTTTTGCTCTTATGATTTATTTTATTAAATTAAATTGCTGCAGTGGGTTTGGTCGTGTTTTGGTTGACTAAGTACAAACTTTGAACTTCAGATACCTAAAACTTCCATTAGCTCAGAACAGCCTACAATTGCTGTTTTACAAGTGTCAAATGTTTAACTTGTTTAAATACTGAAAGTGGGAAAAAAAAAACCAGTGGTTGTTGACATGTACCATTTCTTTGTCCTTGTTTGTGGCTTGGTGGCTGACTGGAAATTGCAGCTCAATGCCCAACACCAGTGAAGGTATACTGTCAGCCCAGGAAAAGATTGAAACTCAGAAAGTACTGAATGTATGGTTTTGTATTACCATAGTAAACTCAAATTTTGAGTGGAAGATCCTCTGTATATGCTAAGCTTAGGAAAGGGACTTTTGAAAGTGTTATGTGCTAAGTTGCTTCAGTTATGTTTAGTTCTGTGACCCTATGGACCATAGCCCACCAGGTTCTTCTGTCCATGTAATTCTCCAAGCAACAATGCTGGAATGGGTTGCCATTCCCTTCTCCAGGGGATCTTCCCGACCCAGGGATTGGATCCAGGTTTCTGTCTCCTGCATTGGCAGGTGGGTTCTTTACCACTATACCACTTAACCTTCAGTGTTTATCATTATTTTTAAACAACTGTAGCTAATTGTGTTAATTTCTGCTGTAGAGCAGTGATTGTTTCACAGTATTTTTTTCCACTATGGTTTATAACAGGATACTGAATATAGTTCTCTGTAGGATTTCTACATAGGAAAACTTAGGCCAGCTGACCCCAGCACCCTACTCTCACCATCTCAACCACCAGTCTGTTCATGATTTGACTCAGATTCGTTTTCTACATATATCCCACATAGGTGGTTATCAAGTGGTATTTGTCTTCCCTATTAGTATAACCTCCAGTTGCATCCATGTTGCTGCAAATGCCATTACTTTGTTTTTAATGGTTGAGGAGTAGTTCACTGTATGTGTGTACATCTTCACCTGTCAATGACCATGTGTCCACTCTTGACTACTGTCCAGTGCTGCTGTGAACACAGGGGTGTAGGTTTTTTATTCGGATGTTTTCTCTGGATGTTCTGTCCCAGAGTGGGACTGCCATTTTTAGTTTTCTGAGGAACCTTGTTTCCCACTGGCTGCACCAAGTTTGGACCAACAGAATCCAGTCCCACCCACAGCATAGGAAGGTTCCCTCCAGCATGTTAGTTAGTGCAGCTTTTAAACGATGGCCATTCAGACCCATGTGTGGTAGTACATCATTTTGGTTTACATCTCTCAAATTAGCATCTTGAACATCTTTTCATGTATCTACTGGACACCTGTCTTAAGAGAAATGTCTGTTCTTTGCCCATTTTTTGACTGGACTGAGTTGAAGGAGCCATTTTGGAAATTTAGCCTATGCCCGTTGCATCATTTGCAATTATTTTCTCCCACTTTGACTACAGCTCATTTTGTTTTTATGACTTCTAAATTCACCTGCGATGGTTTTAATGTCTTCTCATGTACCATAATTGGGCTTCCCTGGTGGCTCAGCTGATAAAAAGAATCTGCATGCAGGGCAGGAGACCTGGGTTGGGAAGATCCCCTGGAGAAGGGAATGGCTACCGACTCCAATATTCTGGCCTTGAGAATTCCATGGACTGTATAATCCACAGGGGTCTGAAGAGTCACATAAAACTTGAGCGGACATGGCTGAGCAACTGCAACTTTCACTTTATGTAACGTGTTATCTACACTCAGGATGATGGCAGGTATGTACCATGTTACCCGTACTCAAGAAGGATGACAGATTAAGATTTGTGAAGGGATACATACAGGGTAACTCCAAACACAACACTGTATATACTTAAATCTATGAGAGCAGAACTGTGTAAAAAACCTGCATCTTCTTTATTTTCAATACTTTAATTTCAGAACAAAATAAACAAAACACAACACACAACATTCAAACCCCATGTCAAACGTGGAAAGGGATAGGGCTTGAGGCCCATATATCCTGCCTTAGAAGGAAACAAATAAAACCACTAGACATCAGCAGAGGAACCACATGGGCCAGAGCCACTGGGGCTCCTGCTGCGGGAGATATGGGGACGCTATACAGAGGGAACAGTCTGCAGGGAGAAACTCCTAATCTACTTCTTCCATGCGAGAGGCATCCTCATCACCCTCAAGGGGGGGAATCTCATCAGGAACAGCAGCACTGGGCTCCTCTGCCGTCACCTCATCTTCATCAATGCCTAAGAGTAGGAAAGAAACCACTTCAGATATGCCCCCAAAAGTGCCCGACACCCCTTGCTACTTGAGAGGACACGCATACTCACCCAGGCCAAGCTTTATCATGCGGTAGATGCGGTTGGAGTGGGTCTGCGGATCCTCAAGCGAGAAGCCAGAGGAGAGCAGTGCAGTTTCGAACAGCAGTACCACCAGGTCCTTGACAGCCTTGTCGTTCTTGTCCGCCTCTGCCTTCTGCCGCAGGGTCTCCACGATGGGGTGGTCAGGATTGATCTCCAGGTGCTTTTTGGCCATCATGTAGCCCATGGTTGAGTTGTCCCGAAGCGCCTGGGCTTTCATTATACGCTCCATGTTGGCTGTCCAGCCATAGGTGCTCGTCACAATGCAGCAGGGTGAAGACACGAGCCTGTTGGAGATCGTCACCTGAGGGCAGTCAAAAAAACTCATTATATTGAATCAAATTACCACCTCAAGGCAAAGATGGTTACCTCTAATCTACTCTTCGGGGGAAAAATGTCATCTTTGGCAAACTCTATAAACACCAACCTTAAGAGCACAAAAAGTAGAACGGCACTGAACAGATCAGGCTGCCTAAACCACTGACTGTGTAGCAGCCAAAGATGAAAGGAAACCACTCTGAAGGCATCTCTTACAAGGTAACTTGGCTTCATAATGGCTTACCTTCTCCACCTTCTTATCCAAGATCTCTTTCATGAGTTTGCAGAGGTTCTCAAACTTGGCCTTGCTCTCTTCCATCTTCTTCTTCTCCTCCTCGTCCTCAGGCAGCTCCAGGCCCTCCTTGGTCACAGAGACTAGACTCTTCCCATCAAACTCCTTGAGCTGCTGCACGCAGTACTCATCAATGGGCTCCGTCATGTACACCACCTCAAAGCCCCGCTTCCGCACGCGCTCCACAAACGCAGAGTTGGCAACCTGCTCTTTGCTCTCACCTGTAGGATTACTCAGTGTGACTCAAAAGGCCAAAATGCCTCATCCTGCCAGTTCCCCAAGACCCTTGAGAGTTCCCCCCACACCTCTAAAAAAAGGCTTTGATCAGACCCAGGTTCCAACACACCAGTGATGTAATAGATGGACTTCTGGGTCTCCTTCATGCGAGACACATATTCCGAGAGAGAAGTCATCTCGTCTCCAGACTGGGATGTGTGATAGCGCAGCAGCTCAGAAAGGCGTCGCCGGTTAGTAGAGTCCTCATGGATTCCAAGCTTTATGGGTGGGGGAAAAAATCATTTTGTTAAGAAGTAGCTTATCCTCCAAGTGAATTAAAAATAAAAAATCCATTATAATTATTAAGCAAATACTTGCCGCTTACCTTCAGATTTTTAGAGAATGCCTCATAGAATTTCTTGTAGTTCTCCTTGTCTTCTGCTAGCTCAGAGAAGAGCTCAAGGCACTTCTTAACAATGTTCTTACGAATAACCTTCAAGATTTTGCTCTGCTGGAGCATTTCTCGGGAGATGTTCAGAGGAAGGTCTTCAGAGTCAACCACCCCACGGATGAAGTCTGAAATCAAATATGGAAGCTGGGTTTTAAAGATACAGGAGTGGCGGGGATAAAGACAACAGGTATTTAAGGTCATCTGGATTTAACAGAAGGACTGATTTCTCACCAAACCTTCACTTGTTAGGTTGCAAAAGATCCTTAATCTAAGATAAAGACTCCAGTCCCCCTGAGAACGCTGAAATGAACTACATTAGGGCAAAGATACTTACTGAGATATTCCGGAATCAACTCATCACAGCTGTCCATGATGAACACACGGCGGACATACAGCTTGATGTTGTTTTTTTTCTTTTTGTTCTCGAAGAGGTCAAAAGGAGCCCGACGGGGGATGAACAGCAGTGCTCTGAATTCCAATTGACCTTCTACAGAGAAGTGCTGAAAGAAATCCAAGATAAGCCAACTATGTACTTGAAGACAAGAGTGGCTTTTTGTCCCAATACCAAAATGTCCAGTTATCTGAAACAAAAATCTTCCTATCCCTGTAGAGAAAGTTTAAGCCCTAATGCCCTAAATGAATCCAACATGGTACAAGCACTGTATAATCTTTGGGTCAAAGACTTCAGGTGGGTAAAGCTGCCACAGACAGTGAGGTCACTGGGGAAGATGTCATTTCTCCACCCTGGAAGGGTCCATTAGCAAATAAACGCATAGCATTCACAGTTCCCAGCTACCAACCAGTTGGGTAGGTTCCATTTGTCCATATCAGCTCCTCCTATTGAGCCAACAAGCAAGATGTCTTACCTTCACTGCCAAATGATCTTCCCAGTCATTGGTAAGACTCTTGTAGAACTCGCCATATTCCTCCTGGGTGATGTCATCAGGGTTCCTGGTCCAAATGGGCTTGGTCTTGTTCAGTTCTTCCTGATCAATGTACTTCTCCTTTATCTTCTTTGTTTTCTTTTTCTTATCTTTGCCACTATCATCCTCCTCGTCTGAGCCCACATCTTCAATCTTAGGCTTCTCTTCATCATCTTTATCTTCCTCTTCTTTCTCACCTTTCTCTTCTTCAGCCTCATCATCACTGATTTCCTTCTCACGTTCTTTCTCCAGCTAGAAGTATCAAAGATGACAGTGTCAAGAGTACAAAAAAGCAAAAAAACCCCCAAAGTCCATGCAATTCTCTAAAGCAGCAGTTACCTGCACCGGTTACCAATCCATACTCACATAAAGTGTGATGGGATAGCCTATGAACTGCGAGTGCTTCTTCACCACTTCTTTGACCCGCCTCTCTTCCAAGTACTCTGTCTGGTCTTCCTTCAGGTGGAGAATCACTTTGGTACCACGGCCAATAGGTTCACCTAGAAAAAATTAACCAGAACACAGTATAAGAAACTAAATAAACGCAGAACTATAACTGCTTTACACATACAGTACAAGATCTTCATTACAGTTTCCCCAGACACTGTAACAGGAATGCTAACTTACCATGGTCAGCACGGACCGTGAAGGAACCCCCAGCAGAAGACTCCCAAGCATACTGTTCATCATCGTTATGCTTTGTGATCACAACCACTTTCTCTGCCACTAGGTAGGCAGAGTAGAAGCCCACACCAAATTGCCCAATCATGGAGATGTCTGCACCAGCCTGCCAAAAAGTTTAAAAAAGTCAAACTCAAGTTTCAAAGAAATGACAAAGCAAACACCAATAATATAAATGGGGTGTGCCTAACTAACCACGTACCTGAAGAGCCTCCATAAACGCTTTAGTGCCAGACTTGGCAATGGTTCCCAAATTATTTACAAGATCAGCTTTGGTCATGCCAATGCCTGTGTCCACCAGAGTCAGAGTACGCTCCTGGGGGTTCGGGATGATGTCAATTTTCAGCTCTTTACCACTGTCCAATTTGGAAGGGTCTGTCAGGCTCTCATAGCGAATCTTGTCCAAGGCCTGAAAGTACAAAATTTCAATTTTACAATTCTGCTTCCTCAAATCCCATTTCACCCAAGTTTTTTAAATTCTCCAAACACCCTAATTCTGATTACCCCTTTAGCTTGTAGGTTGAGAACCACATCCAGTGGGTTACAGTACCCTATCTATCCACAGAGAGCAAGGCAATAGTTTTTGGAACGGCAGTTAAATTTATATCCCCTTTATCAGTAAACACCACAAAATGCCAAACCACTCCCACTTTCCCTCTCTTGGAGTACTTGAAAAACAAAAAACCAGTATCAATGAAGACATTCAAGGCGCTCACATCAGAAGCATTACTGATCAACTCCCGAAGAAAAATTTCCTTGTTGGAATAGAAGGTGTTGATAATAAGAGACATGAGTTGGGCAATTTCTGCCTGGAAGGCAAACGTCTCCACCTCCTCCTCTCCATGGTGCACTTCCTCAGGCATCTAAAATAAAAAGGCAAGAATTTAAGACTCCTCAAGTTCACCCTCAGCCACAATACCCAGGAAGAGACTCTACTCAAACTGTTTTGAGCTGGGTACTAAGACTGGAAAATCCTCCCCCCCCCAATCAATTTCAGGAAGCACCCTTAGAAACAACGTGGGGAGGGGCGCGCCTAACGCGTTGAACAAATTGCGTTAGTATTTCTTGTATTTTGAAGCCAAACTGCTGTTAAGTGAATCATAGATCAGCACAATCTAATTCATTTGTTAGGCACTCCAACCCAGGTATCGCGAACGCTTGAGGTAGATTCACACAAATTTAAATACGCAAATTACTGACTATAGTTCTACCTTCAAGGTAACTAGTTTCACATTAAAGGGCAATGATTTTAAACTGTCCTCCCATTAGATAATTCCAAAGAGATAATGTGGTACTGCTGCCTCCCGTAGGGAGCTGTCCCGTAGAAACAGCTAACTCGAGATTGGCGGGATGCCCATCCAGGTGGGCTATTAAGACAAAGAACCGATAAAGCAAGAGCTCCATCGTGACCCCTCAGCACACGTGACTGAAACTCAAGACCAAACCAAACACTAAGATGGTGGCCTTAGTCTGCGGGGCCGACTCTCGTCACGGCTGGACATGCGTCGACCACACGAGGAGGGGGCGCCACCGCGCAGCCTCCCTCCGCCCCAGCATCCGGGCACCAGGGCGGGGCGCCGGGCTCCAGAAGCTTCCAGAACAATCTCAGCTCTCGGAGAGGGGCGGGGGAAGGGACGTGCCCACGAATCCCAGAGCCGTCCCCCTCCGCTCGCCAGCCCCTCCTCCACCGAGGCGCAGGAAAGATCTGGAAGGATGGAGGAAGCACGATATACGCCGCCGGCAACCGAAAACAGAGCTCGCCGCAGACCCTCACGGAAAAGCCCCGAACAAAAGAACTTTTAAAAAATTGCGTCCTACAAAAGAAGTAGCAAAACCTGGTCATGACCAGCCTTGCTGAGTCACAGCGGGCGCGCCCACCCGCCACGCTCGGGGACCCTCCGGGGCCCCCGTAGCCGCGTCCGGAAGTGGAGAGGCAAACATGGCAGCGTCCCGGGCCGGCGCGGCCACCACGTGCAATGCCTACCCCTCCGCCCCATTCTGCGGCCCCACAAAACGACGCTTAATAGCCGCAGAAAAGCAGCCCCGCCGCCAACAGCAGAAAAATGTCTAATTAAGAGCTCGCTCCCACCCCCTCCCCAAGAGAAGAAATGGGAGCGTTACGCCAGAAGCCGCCCCAAAACAAGATGTAGGTCTCGGAAAGGACGCATGGGCCGAAAGCAACGCGAAAGAACAAGCTACCTGAAAAGCCCAGATAAGACCGGAACCTTACCTTCAAGAATAAGAATCACAGGTACTAGAGAACACCGAAAGGGCAATGGCTGCCTCCGGCTCACTCGCCGCAAGAAGGCTGCACGGGGGTGACTCAAGAGAACGGCTGTGTGCCCCCAATCGCTTTATATAAGGCGAAGCACAGCTCAGCTGCCCGCCCCCGGATCCCTCCGCCTTAAAGGAGGATGCCTGTCGGCCGCGCACCTGCCACCGCCCGCCCGCCCGCCCACCGTGACGTCATAGTCCAAAATAGGGGAGGGGGCCGTGAAAGGCGGGAGTCGCCGGGCCGGAGAGCTCGCGTATTTACTCATGTTCACAGCCCCGTTTCCGCGCTCCAAAAACAGGACACCATCAGAAACAGATGTTGGGAGTGCTCATTAACATAGACGGTGGAACTAGAGGCGAGGATTCCCCACTGACCTCTGTAAAAACCTGCAGGGCAGGCGTCTCCACTCCCGAGAGTCCCAGCCTCGGGACTAAGGTCCTAGCCTAAACAGGGATCACCCACTCCCCGCTACTCTTAAGTTCGACCTCCTCATTAGAAGCTGCCCTACACATACTCGAACTGCCTGATGCGGGAAAGGGGTCTTTTCCGCGGGCGTTGCGGAATTAAAGAGGTCCCGCTTCGTGGGCATGCCCGGAATACAGGCCGTCCCGGGGGCGGGCCGGCGTTTCGCCGCGGGGCGTGGCTCCGGCTGCGGGTCGGGCGCTGGCTCCAGCCGGCGAGGGGACTCTTTGCCTGCACACTCGGCGGAAGGATCCAGGGCGGCGGTGCTGCGACACTTCCAGCAGCTTCCAGACCGGCCAGGGCGGCCCTGCCCCGCCCCTTCCCTTGAGGCCCCGCCCCACCCTCTGCGGCCTGGGCTGTGTCTGCGGCGGCTCTGCCCCGCAACCGCACTGCTGGGATCCTGGGGGCAAGGAGGCTATACCCTCATCGCATTTCCTCTGGGAAACTGCAAGATGGGACCCTCTACCCTACCCGCTAGGCCCAGCTAGCCCGGCACTGCGTCCTTGGTAGGGTGGAGCGGGGATGACCCCACTTCTCCTCCTATCGATTACACAGCACACCGGCCGGTGGGGCGGCTCTGAGGGCGCCGGCTTCAGAGAGCAGACACTGGGGATGCGGTCGCGTACCCGACGGACCGCGCCCACCCCCCAACCCCCAACCCCAGCTTCTGCAGCCGCCCACAGGTGCGGGAGCGCCGAGACTTGCATATCGAGTTGTTTCTCAATCTGGCTTCCTTTTTCTTTTTTTTCCCACCCTCTTCCCTCCTTCTGCAGCTGCTTACATATGGGAAAGTCGGGTCTCTAAGGACTCCTGCAGGTTGGCAGGAGTTCTTGTCAGCATGAGGACTCTGGTCAGAGTGTGGCCTGCTCCAGATGCCAGAACCAAGTCGTTCCCCTTCGGCTGTGGCGCCGGAGCCTCAAGGCCATGGGCCTGCCCAGGGAGTGCCAGACGGACGCCCACCTCTGCTGTCTCTGCCCCGTTTGCGTACCCTCCAGCTGGTGAGCTGGCCTTGCTTTTCCAAGGCCTTACCTCTGAAACCTCCTTCACGCAGATACCCTCCAGGAGAGAATGGCCCCTCCCTACGCCGTGACTCTGGATGTCCAGCAACTCCTTTTGTGACCTTCTTTGTCGGTCCCTGGCATCCTGGGGAGAGTTGCCCCACCACCCACCCGCGGACCTCCCTCAGCAGCCCTGGTGCCCAGTCTCATTCTTTCACATTTTCTTTGTTCATGTGTTGAGTTCCAGGGAACAAAGGACCCTTGCCTCCCTTCTCCTTGGCCCACACTCCAGCCCTCAACAGCTCTGCCCCCATGACCTCAATTTCATCTCTCCATAGACTTCTCTTCCTTGTGTGGGAGAAGCCTGTGGCTGGGAGAAGTCAATGAGTGTGGGAAGGGGCATGGGCGCTGCTGCTAGGAGGGGCCCCCGGCTGCTCTGTTCCTGATGGAAACCTCAAACCAGGAGCATCACCCCCGCCCCAGTGCACCTGCCTCCCTATGCACAGAAGGGGTTAGTAATTAAACACCTCCCTGGTTCACAAGAGCATCCACAGTATTTCACAGTCCTGTGAAGGGGTGGGAATGAGTCTGCACACCTAGAAAGTGAGAGAGGAAGGCTTTAGTGAGTACCCCTGGGTGGGTCAGCTCAGAGCCTTTGCTCCACTAACTCCCGAGCTCCCTGCTGCAGGAATCCAGTAGTGCGGATGATGTTTCCCTTCCCAGACTCAAGCCGGAAGCAGAACAAGAATCACTCCTGTGGACCAGTGTCGGGACCAAAAATTCCTCAGGGGGTTCCTGATGGGAAAATCTCGTCTCAACACCAGGACAGAAATTCTGATTTGTCTTCTGGAAGCCTCCCAGGATGACCTCTCCAGCTCACTGACACTCACTAAGCCCCACTTGTAAGCCTTGCCTTACCACGCGGAGATGCGGCAACAAGCCAAGAAGTCCTCAGCCCACTGTGGGGAGCTGCAGCAGACCAGCTGTGAATCAGAGCAGCTAGAAGCAGGGGAGAAACCTCAGAGTCTCCCAGCTCAGCCTGGGGAACGTGGCCGGCACAGGTCTACCCCCAGCAAAGGGAAAACATGGAGAAGGCACAGCCCTGATAGAGGGACCAGGAACCCTCAAGGGAGGCAAAGTAAAAATGAAAGAAAGTGAAGTCGCTCAGTCGTGTCCGACTCTTTGTTACCTCATGGACTGTAGCCCACCAGGCTCCTCCGTCCATGAATTTTCCAGGCAAGAATACCGGAGTGGGTTGCCATTTCCTTCTCCAGGGGATCTTCCCAACCCAGGGATAGAATCTGGGTCTCCCGCATTGGAGGCAGACACTTTACCATCTGAGCCACCAGGGAAACCCAGGGAGGCAGGGGTCACTGAAAGCGGCTCAGCAGGCAGGAGTTGGGTCACATAGGGTCACAATGCCATGCTAAGTAGTTCTGACCTTAACTTAGGGTCAAGGAAGTCACTTAAGGCTGTTAAAGATGACTTGACCCCGCCCCCCCATCCCCAGAAGTGTTTTCTCAGCAGTATTTGCAATCCTTGATGTTCCCAAGATACCCTTTATTTCCAACCAGGCCTCAAAGACCCAGCCTCACCTTCTGCTGCCTGGAGCAATGCCAGATGAAGCAAGGACTGACAAACTGTGGCCCTTAGCCAGTGGTCTTATCACTTTGCTTTTGTGTGGCCTGTGAATAAAAATGGTTTTTTCGATGTTTAGTGGTTGAAAAAAATCAAAGGAAAGATAGGATTTTGGCATGTGAAAAGTATGTGAGGACTTGCCTGGTGATCCAGTGGCTAAGACTCTGCACTCCCAAAGCAGGGGGCCTGGGTTCCATTGATGGTCAGGGAACTAGATCTCACATGCCACAGCTAAAAGATCCCACATGCTGCACCTAAGACCTGGTGCACCCAAGTAAAACAAATATTTTTTAAAGTAGATGAAATTTGAATTTGTGTCCATAGTTTTACCGAAACACAGCTTTACTTCTCTGTACATGTTGTCTTCAGTTTGTTTCACACTGTAATGAGAGAGCTGATAGTTGAGACAGAGACCATATAGCTTGCAAAGTCTAAATATTTACCCTCTCACCTTTTGCAGAAAAGCGCTGCAGACCCCCGATCTAGCTAAAGCGAAGTAGGGTCTTGCAGGCCACACAAGACCTGGATAGAGGCTTCCTGCTGCTGCTCATTCTGGGACTTCTAGTTAGGAAGTGCAAATGGTCGTTCATGGGGGTCAGGGGGTCACTGAGGGGAGTTTAGATACAGGGCAATGGATGAATCAAACAACTGCGGGCATCAGGACATCAGAGACTGTATAAGAATGGAGACGTAACATGTGAATTTGATCCCTGGGTCGGGAAGATCCCCTGGAGGAGAACACGGACAACCTACTCCAGTATTCTTGCCTGGAGAATCCCATGGACAGAGGAGCCTGGCAGGCTGCAGTCCATAGGGTCACACAGAGTCAGACATGACTGAAGCGACTCAGCATGCACGTAGCTCTGGATCCTTAACCCCCAGAACAGGCAGCCCCCCAAGTTGAGAGCCTGCCAGGCATGCTCTATCAGTTTTGGTCTTCCTGGTTTCACCAAGTTTACATCTCTCAATTCTTGAGCTGACATCCTCCTGGGCCAATGGACCTGACATTAAGATACAATGGGACAGCTGAGCAGGTCTGCAAGGCCAACCAGTGTTCCATCTCTTTGCCTTAGTTTCCATGTTCTGCTGGGACATGCCTTGCACAGCATTTGCTCATTTGATTGTTATGTTATTTTTTGATGCAGTGGCAAACGGAAATTTTTGTTCATTTTCTGTTTCCTGGAGAGTCTGAAAAGCAATTGATTGTTGTCTATTGATCCCACAACTTGGTAAGCTATGTTACTAATTCTTAATTTGTCCGTCAGTATTTGTTTTATAGTTCTTCTTGTTTTCTAGTACAACCCTAGCTATCATCTGAGAACAATGATATTTTGTTTTTTGCCTTTCTAACCCTTGTGTGTCTTATTTCTTGTTATACTGCACCAGCTAGGACCTGCAGAAAAATGCTGTGTGAAAAGAGTGGTCCTGGGTATCCCTGTCTCCTTTCTGATCAGAAAAGGAACCCTTTATCATTGAGCATATTTACTGTCTCTGCTCCCCACTTGTGATACATCTTAAACTGAATAAGTATCAGGATTTTTTTTGGCATCTATTGAAAATATTGTTTTTAAAATTTCCTTTATCTATTGATATTTTTAATTCATTAACAGACTTACTAATGTTACACTGAGATTATCTATTTTCTTTTAAGTTTTGTAGAACCCATCTATAAAACTGCCTGTTGTTTCTGTTGTTTTGTATATGAAAACATTTTAGGGGCTTCCCTGATGGTGCAGTGGCTGAGACTCTATGCTCCCAATGAAGGTGGCCCTGGGTTCAATCCCTAGTCAGGGAACTAGATCCCCATGTGCTATGCCGCAACTAAGACCTGGTGCAGCCAAATAAATAAATAATACATAAGATTTAAAATTTTTTAAATAAAACATTTTAATTAGAAACTCAATTTTTTTTCATGATATAAGTGCACTCAAGTTTTCTGCTACTTACTCCTTGAGTGAATTTTGTTTAATAATTTTTCCGGATGTTTCTTGAAAGCTTTAAAGATTATGGCATTCTGTTTCCTTGACTAACTTTTAAATCTCTGTTCTGTCTCAAGTATGTCTCCTTTTTCACTCCTACAATTCTTTCTTGTGTCTTTTCCTTTTTTATAATAATCAGTTTCACCAGGGACTTATCTATTTTATTTACATAATTTTTCTGCTTAATTCTTTAATTTTTTTTTCTTTATTCCTTTAATTTTTAAATTTCTGCTAAACTTTTTCTCATGACTTCTATTTTCAGGGGATCGAGTCTGTTGTTCTTTTTCTATTTTCTTAACTTCAATACTTGGCATATTAAATTTCAGCCTTTCCCCTTTTCAGACATAAGGATTTAAGATTATAAGTTTCTTCTCAAGTACTATTTTAGCTATATCCCACAAATTTCAATATATAGTATTTTTAACTCAGTTTAAAGGATTTTGATTACCCTTATGGTACCTTTGTTGATCCATTTATAAGTGCTTAAAATGGTCAGTTGTTTTTTATTATCTTTTCATTTATGCCGACAATATACAATGGTATGTATGGTGCTGAACTTTTGTATTTGAGACTTCCTTTGTAATCTAGGATGTGGTTAATATTTATAAACCCTCCATGTATGCTTGAGAAAAAGTATCTATCACCTAGCTGTTGGATAAGTCAAAATACGTTAAACTTACTAAATCAAGCCAGTTAATTGTGTTGTTCCAAACAAACAAAACACCCACTTGGAGACTCCTTGGGACATAGCTTGGAGAAGGGAGAGGCTGAAGGTGGGGAGCTCTCACAGGGGTGGGGCAGAGGCAGGGTGCATGCCTTCTCTGAGGTAGGGTGGCAGAAGTAGGCCTGAGGCAATTCTCTGTGCTCCCAGAGCAGGGCCCGGATTCTATCCCTGGTTGGGGAACTAGATCCTGCATGCCACAACTAGAAAGATCCTACATGCTGCAGCTAAAGATCCTGCTCGCTGCATCAAGCAGATCCTACATCCTGCAACTAAGATCTGGTGCAGCTAATAAATGTATAAAAATTAAAAATATCAAAAAAAGAAATGGGGATGGGGAGGGAGGGTCAGGATGGGGAACACATGTACACCCATGGCTGATTCATGTGAATGTATGGCAAAAACCACCATAATATTGTAAAGTAATTAACGTCCAATTAAAATAAATTAAAAAAAAAAAGAAATGGGGGCTGAGGGGAGGAGGACCACTGGGTTGGAGGGGTCTAGAAGTCTGTTTCAGGGATTGTAGGGCATCAAAGAGAGACGTTCAGGAGGCAAAGGCTGACGGCTGAAGTCAGGGGCAAGAACGAAATATGTCAGAAGAGTGGGGTGCGAAAGCCAGAAATTGTGGTCTAAGCCATCAGGAGTTGTAAATGGGGCACACCTTTGGTAACTTTCTCTTTAATATTCAATATCAGTGTCTTGACTCTAAGGGCATAGTTATATGTGGCCTGGGAGTGTGTGACAGTCCTGCCTGCTTGCTGTGGTCAGCCCAGCCCCCAAATGCCTGTCCTCCTCCTGCCATTACACCCACCAGGCAGCCCTTTTTGTCCTGGGCGTTGTTCAGTGTTCTGGGTCCCCTCTGACTAACAAGGGAAAACATAACCCCAAACTGGCTCAGCTCAGAACAGATTATAGTTGGAAAGGTGCAGGGGGCAGGTGACACCACAAACAACTCTGACCTGCTTAACTGTGCTGCCTGACACCTGTCCTGCTCCAGGCACAAGGCTCAATGTGCAGGTCTCAACTGCCTGGATTTCTGGGTCAGTCACAGGACTCAAGCCTTGCCTGGTCCACCTGCACCAGGTAAGAGACGGGTAGGGCCATGGTACTGCTGGTGGGGGGTGAGGAACTCACCGACAGGAGGGGCTGAGGCTACACATCAGGAAGGAGCTTGCTGGTTTCTCCCAGGAAGGATGTCAAGGGAATTCGGGATCCTAGGAGGCTTAGAATCCCTGGGATGTTAGAAGATACCTCTCTGGAATGTTCTGGAGGCAGGGAGGCAGGTGATGGTGCCACCCTATCACGTGAGGCTCTGGACCTTTTCCCACGCCCTTCACTACCTTGAAACGTGTGTGTGTGTGTGTGTGTGTGTGTGTGTGAGCTGAGAGAGAAACAGAGACTTAAACGTACCTGGTGCTTTGAAGTTTACAAAATGTTTTCCTATCCGTTAAACTTTCCAACCTCGGTTTTATGGACGAAAACAGGCATTGGCCATCGTCAGCCCTCCTTAGGATTATTAGATGTTCGTAGGAGTCAATATATGTAAAAGGAGCCGCAGGTGAGCG